ATATCAATATTTCAGTCCATTCAGTAGCAGCTTTAGCCAACCTCCTTGACTCTTCTGTTTCTCCTCACTTTCCCTTTTCTTCCTCTTACTTTCCTCATCCTGAAAAGTACAAGGAAACAGTTTCTCTTCTTTTTTCTCTCTCCACTCATCCATAACTCCCTGTTCTTGTTCCCCTTCCCTTCTGATTTTTCCCAAATCAGAAAGAAAGAGCTGAATGTGGGTGGAAGGGCTCCCTGCAGCTGATAACTAGCTCAACTAGACAAAATAAAGGTAGATGGATGATAGGGAAAAAATAAAATATGCTGCATCAAGGAGCAAATACAGAAGTGCTGCCCAGAGGCCAGGAGGCTATGAGGGGGGTACTGCCTTCCAGTGAAGCTAAAGGACAGGCAGAGCCAAGAGTTGCCAGCAGGACCAGGCTGAGGATGTCAACTCTAACACCTTTGTCTTGAGATCAAAGTCTAAAAATTCTTAAAATTCAATTTAAGGTGACTTGAAGAATTATTCTCTACTGGATGGCAACATGCTGCATTATATTTTGAATTGGATAAATTTGTGTTCACATAGAAAATGTTCTTTTTGTTTTTGTTTTTTCTCTTTATCCATAATTCTTAAAAGCAGAAAAATAGTTAGTGAACCAAAACTCAACTTTTATTATAAAAACAATTTTTAAGTCAAGTTGATTTTTGAACAAGTAGAGTCTAATCATGATAGTAGTGAGTTCAACACAGGAAACTGGACCAAAATCTTCATCTATACCAGTAGAACTAACATACATGATGACTGCCTGGAAATGCTGTTTTGGAAATACTAGCTAGCACTGTCTTTTCAATTAAAACAAGGTGTGGTCATGCATGAGGTCCTCGGTTCAGTTCTCAGCAACACACACACACACACACACACACACACACACACACACCCAATATCTGCACAAATAGGTACATAAGTTAAAAGAGATCTTTCCACCATTATCAAACTAGAGATGGGTTTATTTGAAGATAAGAGTCTAAACAATATGTTTGAAGTTAGTTTATAATTATCTCATTACCATTCCCCCAGCTCAGAATTTACTACTTAAGTAGCTAGGAAAAATTGCACAAAAATATACTCAGGTTTTGATAATGACACACATGCATACACAAAGTTTGAATGATAATTTATTAGTAACAAAATATTCTTTATTTTTAGACTTTAATTTAATATTTAAGTTTATTATATATCGGGTTTATTTTTTAAATCACATTGTTTTTATCTGCCAAGTAATAATGAAATGATTATTTAATAATTATATTTTCATCAATTTATATATTTTGTTTTGTAATGATTCTATATTTTTGTATTTGTGGCATATTAAATATTTGGATTCACTATTTTATTAACTCTTAACACTTTTAAATCAAGTATTAGTGTTACCCTTTCATTTGCACCAGTGTCCTTAAGGGGTCCTTCAGATGAAACCTAAAAGTTGAGAGGATTTAGTCAAAAGAAGAAGCGTTGTGGCAAGAATGTTCCAGGCAGTTTTTCAGATGGAAAAAGAGTACAGTAAGTTTTCACAACTGAAAGACAAGTTGATGCTCGGAGTTTGAAAGGATGAGCAAAAGGTTTGAGTTGAGAATGGCCAAGAGGTCATGAGCAGGTTTAGGGAGCCATGGAAAGTCTGAGACTCTTCAGGAAGCCAGAGGTGGACTTTAAGTGTAGCCGTGGTCAGTCAGATTTGCATTTTAGATGAATCATTGTACTGCTCTGTGAAGTTGGATAAAGATAACCAATTATTACACTCAGGAAAATATCCTAAGTCATAGGCAGTAGGGGGAAAAGTGGACCAATTTGAGAGATATTTAGAAACTAGCATTCACAGGGCATGGCAGTGGGTCTAGCCAGAGCACTGGTGAATTTGGTAGCAGTTGCTGACATGGGGCCTGCATGAAGGGTTGTACTGGGTATGTTTATGTGGGAGGTGATGCATTCTCTTTTGCAGATTCCCATGGGACAGAGAGTATTCTGTTAGGTGAATGTAGAGACCTAGGCCTTAGACAAGTCTGGAGCGGACATGGAGACTTATAGATGTTGTCAATGGTGGGATGGAAGTAAAGTCTCTGAGTGGATGGAAATTCAAGGTGAAAGGGAAAGAAAACAGCAGGAGTAGCCTAGAGTGGTAGAAGGAAAGTCAGAAGCAGGTGATGCCATAGAAAGGAGAAAGAAGAGTGCTCCTAGGAAAAAATGACTGATTATCTGCTCTAGATGCTCTGGAGAGTTTGCGTTAAGGTAAGAACAAAAGTATCATTTGCTTTAACTTTAAGGTAGTCATTGGTGACCCAGATAGTGGGAATCAGATTTTAACAATTCTAATGTGAGAAATTAGGCAGGTTTTTCAAGTTTTCAATGGAAGAAAGAACCAAAGCCCTTGGGTTCAATGGCTTTACTGAGTACTTTTTGTGCTCACTACATGGGAACCATTGGTAATGCCCAAAGCCCTGACTAAACTACTGACAAAAACCTTCCCTTAGACAAGGAGCACACAGAGTGTAGCTTACTAAAATGGTAGAATATGGGGGGAAAAACACAAATTTCTTCTAACAAATTATGGTAGAGTATTTAGCTATGGCATAGTAAACAACCCAGCAGGCCCTCTCTGTTCAGTGTTATCTCCAGAATGAAACCAGCCAACTTACCCTGGCTCCTTTTCATTCTCCATTCACCTATCATGCTGGAGAATGACAAGGAGCCAGGGTAAGTTGCGTAAAAACGATGAAGGGAACTTTAACCTGATGGTGATGGGAAGGTGCAAGGAGAGAGGGAGGCAGTGAAGAGAGAGGGTGACCAAGGAATTGGCATTCCTGGAAAGGCGGAACAAGAAGGATATCAGGAGCTAGATCTTGGATTGGAGGGAAAAGGAAGCAAGAGTCAGGCTGCAGAAAAATTTGTGAGTGGTGATAAAGGAGGAGGAAGTATTTTGTGAAATAGCATTGTCATTGGCTGAGATTGAGGAGGTAGGTGATGGGGAGGCTAATGAGGACAGAGGATGTGTAAAGCATTAGCACTGAGGGAGCGGAAAAGAAGCTGACCAGGGAAAGCTTGAGGAGAGGACTAGGACGAGGTGAGGTTTTCTGTGAAGAGTTAATAGTGGCCCGTGTCTCCACCTGCCCTTCTTGAGGTACATGGGGTATATTTAAAGAGTTTCTAGAGTTGGTTGTGACTGATCTGTAAAGTGCAAGGAGCAGATTATAATGAATGCAACTCACGCTCATCTTTGACACATCCGCTGTTGTCCTGTAGTACAGTGTTAAAACATCCTCTGAGAGTATTGAAGTGTGTTAATGGAAGCTCTTTGCTCCTTCAGTAAGTGGCCCCAGATTGCTGTCTTGTTTTTCTTTAAGTTCTTGTCCGCTTTTTTATACTATTTCTGTCTCCTCCCTTTCTGTTTTCTTCCTTGTTGTCAGTTGTTCTATCACATTGCTGTCTGCATGCAAGTCTGTATCAGCCCTACACCCTGGACTTTGTCAACATCTGGAGTTATCACACCTCTGAAATAAAGCAGTGGGCTTGAAGACCAGACAAGCAAGCTTATTAGAATTGTGTGCAAAGTAAGAGTAAATAACCTCTGAGTGTGATTCTCATGTGCTGTGCTTTGAAGGGTATACATGAATGTTTGTACATGAATTTCTGTGACATTTATTGGGTTGCTCTCAATTGTCCATAACAAGACGTTTGTTGCCTGTATTCCCATTGTGTGTTTTTCTTATTTTGAATTTCCATGGATTATAATATTCTTAAAGAGCCCTCAATATTTATGATTTTTTCTTGTAATTGTGCTTTAGTATTTATACTTTTATACATTATCTAAACTTTAAAACCACATGATTAGATGTGTTATGCTATGATTTTTTATTATTCACATGGATTTTCAAATACTTATATATTTTGTATGGAAATAACATGAATTTTCAAATAGTTGTGCATTTTGTATGCAAATAATGTACCATTTCACAAGTTGGTCATTTAGTCATTTCACGTGTAAAGGAACAATGTAAAGAAAATATTTTGGAGGTTTGAAGAATAAGTTATCTACTCTCACTTTTCATATATTTCTGTGTTGTATGGATTTTCTCATCTGTGAACATCTCATATACATAGCAACAAATTTGATTTTTAAAAGAATCTTATATATTTAGGTGCCCAGTAAATATCAACTCAACGTTTTTTATAAATTAACTTAATTTCGATCCCCACCTTCCTTCTTGTCAGATGAAAAGTAAATTCGACACCAGTCATGTGGAGACTTTCCCCTGCTCCCAAGGATGTGCCTAGGGTTGGGTTGTTGGGCAGTTGTGTACACTGATGAAAGGCCCCAGACTCATCATCACCTGGTCACTCTGGTTGCCTAGGAGTTGCCTGTCCAACCAGCCCACACAAGCCCTTGGGTTCAGTGGCTTTGCTGAGTACCTTTTGTGCTCACTACATGGGAATCATTGGTAATGCCCAGAGCCCTGTATTCAGGCTTCTGCCTCCCTGGGGCACTCAGCAGCTCAGTTACTCCATCAGACATCTTGTTCCTCTCTCCAAACTGGGGACATATTTTTAATCTGGGGGAAATCTTGCTCTCCTCAAACTCTACTCTCAATAATTAAAAAAAAAAATTAGTGAAAACTAAAATACTGACAAAAACCTTCCCTAATCAAGGAGCACACAGAGTGTAGCTTACTAAAATGGTAGAATATGGGGAAAAAACCCCACAAATTTCTTCTAAGAAATTATGGTAGAGTATTTAGCTGTGGCATAGTGAACAACTCAGCAGACCCTCTCTGTTCAGTGTTATCTCCTCCAGAATGAAACCTATGTAGCCTTAATTTTTTAAAACTCATTGAAGGACACCTATTAAGTGTGCTTACATTTTATTGATAGAGTAATTTCTGAGTGGCGATAGTAAATACTGAGCAGAATCTAATATTTGCAAGTGTTAAGTAAGTTTTCTGACTTGGTTTTGTCTTATTTTACCTAAGAACACTGGAACTATTTTGGGGCCGATGAGAATCTTGGTCCAGTTGCTGTGAGCATACGAAGGGAAAAACCAGAAGAAATGAAGGAAAATGGATCTCCATACAACTACCGAATGATCTTTCGAACTAGTGAGGTAAGTTCTAGATAAGAAAGACTTGAGGCTTAATTGAAGTAGGAAAAAGTAAAGTAGTAGAAGTTGCAGAGCAATAGCAGATTCAATAGCACAAGGTCACAGTGTCCTTGGAGCAAGCAAGGCTCCTCCTGTCTTCACACTGGTGGCAATGGAGGCAGGCCAGGTGGGTAGTTCTGGGTCCCTTCTGCATTCTAGCTCTGGATAGATGCAGTAGATGACAGGCAGTTCTGATTCAGAGAAAGATCTGTCTGCGAAGTGTCACCTAAAGGATCAGAGCCTTCAGAATCACAAGTGGGAGTTGCATAATCCCACTCAGGACAGCTGGAAAGCACCAGCCAACTTGAGAAATGGGCATGCTGGTGGAGGAGAGCGGGTCACCTGAGACTTAGCTCAGTTGTCCAGGTTATGGCAGAGAACATTTTTTGAGCCAAGAAGAGCAAAGGGAACTTTATTTCTCCTACCCTCACTTTGCTGCACCTTGGACATACACTGTATAAGCCTATAACACAGTTGGAACCAGAGACTCTCCATTTGTGGGTTGAACAGGCTCTTTTAGAGTCTAAATACACATAATATATGGGTTTTCATCTTAAAGTGAAACTCTAGTTAAAAAAAGAAAAGCAAAACTAAAATAGCCAACAAAGCTTTTTAAAATTGTGAACAAGTTTGGGATCATGGGATTTTTTATTTATTTATTTTTCCCCTAAACATTGGTATTATTGTCCCAGTTGTCAGTGTGTTTCCTCTCAGCTTTAATCCTAAATTCTCTTTAAGATTATTCTTATGCATTAATGCCTAATACACCCTTGAGGTATCTAGAAAATAATGGTTTTGAAACTGGTTTAAATAGGACATTTGTTTTCATTTCCCCTGTTGAATCAAGGGTAGTTTCAGGAGTTGGCTTCACTTAGTAATTGTTCCTAAGCTTGAACTCTGGGGAAATTAAAAATAGGGATTTTAACAACAACACTTTAAATCTAATGTGGTGTTTACAGCGGCCAAGGAGAAATGAAGAGCTGTCCCTTCCCACTTTCAAAGCTGCTGGTTTAGCCATGTGCCACCTCTATGGAGTGTCCTGTGTTGGAAGGTAGACACGGGCAGCTGCCCTTGTTCAGCTTCCCAGATCCACAAGATTTCTGTGAATACCCTCATCTTACTTCCAAATGTTTTCGTCCTTTCTGTTGTATCTTTTTCCCCCCTCCCAGGGCTATTTTATTTTAACCCCATCATTTGCTTCCTTTTTGTTGGTATTTTTATCCATTAGCCAAAGCTTCTTGCCACTGTCCTATCCCATCCTTCCTGCAGAGTACTGGAGTTTCCTCGGGGCCCTTTCTTTCTCAGACCCTGCCTCTTGCTTCTGCTGGTCACTCTTCAACATCTTGACTCAGCTGTGCCCTGGGAACCACTGTTGTCTTTCCCTCCTATTCTCTCACCTCTTCCCACTTGGCTCCTGACTCCTCCCTCTGGTTTATGGTCACAGGGTTAGCCTTTTTGTTCTTTTCCTTGGTCCTTTTCCTTCACCTTTGTTGTTGTAAGTGTCCATGTCAAATGCTGTTCACAACACTGAGGCTAGCCAGGCGCTGTGGCACACGCTTACATATTCCTAGTGACCCAGGAGGATGAGGCTGGCAGTGGGCAATCTCAATACCAGCCTGGGCTTAGTGAGACCCTGTTTCAAAACTAAAAAGAAAAAGGGGTTGGGAATGTGGCTCAATGGCAGAAAGTTCTAGGGTTCAGTTCCTAGTGCCTCAAAACCAATCATCCAACAAAATATACCATGGCCATTTGTTGTTAAAGATTGATGTTCAGTTCCTGGTAACCTGGAGATTGTAGTTGTTCAGATCAGAAACCTTGAAGTCACATTTTGACTCTTCTCCTTTCCTCCTGCCCACAAATCTGTTCTTTAAGCAATCTTTGTCCATTGTCTTCAAAATACTGCAAGTCTAGATCTCAACCATTCTTACCCCCAAACCTGGACCTTGCTCTGAAAAATCCTTTCCCTGCCTCTGCCCTGAACCTGGGCTTCCTTTTAGCTCAGAGGGAATCTCTTTGAAATGTAATCCATATCTGCCCCATCCTCCTTCAGAATCCCTTCAAAGTTCTCCATATCCTCCTGAGTAAAAGCCAGAGTCCTTGATAGCTCTGTGACCTGGCATATCTACTTCCCAGCTGTCTCTGCCACCTCATCTCAGCATCTCCCATAACTCCTACTGCTCCGTCTCTTGCAGCCTTGGAGGCCTCCTTCCCCTCTAGGTGACCTCAGCATACCTGTGCCTCTGGACTTCAGTACTCCCTATTCTTCCCTCTGACAACATCTTCCCCATGTCCTTCCCTCTGGCCTTCTCTGATACATCAGAGGGACCTTCTCCGCATCGGGGTCTAAAATTTCTATTCCCTCCCCATTTATGACATTTTTGTTGTTGTTGTCTGGTTTGGTTTTGATGGTCCCAGTTGAACTCAGAGCCTCACACATGCTAGGCAAGTGATGTACCATTGAGTCCCACCCCAACCCCAATTTAAATTTGATTCCATACTTTATGTTTCAGTAACTCTTATCACTATCTTACATATTGTGCTTTTAAATTTTGTTTGCTTACTTAATTGTAAGCCCTGTGAGGGTGGAAACTTTTATCTGAGTTGTTCTTTATTATACGCCTAATGCCTAGAGTAGTCCCTTTAAGGGACTGGGGGTGAAGAATCATAGTCGAACACTTGTCTACCATGTGCATGGCCTTGGGTTCCATCCCAGAATCTCAAGAGAAGAAAAATTATAATAAAATTAAACTGTCCTTTCTCTCTTTTCTCCTCCCTTCTTCCCTTTCTCTCTCTCTTCTCTTTTTTCCTTTTTTTCTTTTCTCCCTCCCTCCAGCATTTATTTCCTCTAGTGTTTATTTAATTGATCACCACTAACTTATCTGTAATTTTTTGCTTTCCAAGAAAAATAATCCTTATATATGGTTCAATTTTAATGCCTGTATAAGACTTGCCATGGAGGTGAAATTGCTAATGCTCGTTGGTAGAGATATTTTTAAATGTTGGTCCTGCCCACGCTCCTGGACCTTGTGGTTCAGTCAGTTCACTTGTTTTACTGAAGCAAGTTTATTAGATGTACAACAAAATAACACTTAACTTTATATTAGGAACTTCCCAAGCCAATCAGTATATTGGGAAAAAAAAAAGAAAAAAGAAAACACAGTCATGGCATTGACATTGGCACTCCCGTGGCTTTAGTGAATGGCATCCATGTAACAGAGACAGAAGCCAATCTCTTTCATCTTAGTAGAAGTCAATCATTGCAAAACATCAACAAAAAAGTCCTTCCATTAATTTGTAGATATAGTGGTTTGTTTGTGAACAGTCTTCTGGCATATGAGTATTTTTAAACTCAGAAGCCCAAAGATTTTTATGAAGACTCTTCTCCTTGTTTCTGGAAGCCATTAATGAAAATATCAGTACATAGTGCCAGTGAGTCAGATGTAAAAATGAGTCATTCTTTCCTCATCTTCTTTGACTTCAAAGTTAGCCTTTGTCTTTCTGTTGTGCAGGATGCAATGATGTACATTTCTGGTCTTGGCTTCTAAATTGAAAATGCTCCCAGTCTTTGTGGTCCCCTATCCAGGCATGTATTACTTCATGAAGGGGAGAACCCAGTAGTTACTGAGTTGTTCACCCATTGCCCATAATTTATAAAACAAAAACACTTTCTGTCAACTGAGATAGTATGTAAATGATGATTTTCTATGCGTTATTTGAAATCATTTAAGGGTAGAGGATCCTCATTAAATAAATATATTGCAAATACCTCCAGTACCATTTCTTCTGTTGAGAGTAAGATACTGATAAATTTTGTTTTCCCTAACCTCTATCTCTCTTCCCTCCATCAGCTGGCAGATGTTACAGATTTTACTTCCTGGCCATGCTTCCTTTGGATTTCCTTTTCCCTGCTAATCTTATATCATGCCTTCTTTGCCTGTTACCTAAAGACTTTTAACTTCCTAACTGTATTTTCTGCTTCCAGTTTCTTCCTCTCATATCTCATTTGCCAATTTAGTTTCTGAAATTATATATCGTTTTCCCCATCTGAATGTGTCCTGTGATCACACAGGAGAGTGATGAGGTGCACATCCCTCAGTCAGCCTCAGGGTCTTCTGCTGTGGGTCCTGGCTCCCCCCAGCTCACAGCTCCATCATCACTCCTCCCTGGTTCTTTCTGGTCCAGCTGTAGCAATCACTCCTTCTTCTTTCACCCTGGTTTTTCCTATCTCTATACCTTTGCTCATCTTATCTGATATTTTCTTTTTGTAGAAATTATTACTTTATTTTACAATCCCTTTCTAATGCCATTCCTTCTGCCAGGGCCTTCCATTATTCCCTGAGCCACTGTGGTGCCTCCCGTGCCTCTGGCCTTGTAGGACTTGGTCTCCGTATACTTTTCTGAGTAAACACCTCTCTCCCTGGTTGCACTTGTGTATTTCTCATCTCTCACCCTCTTCCGCGCCACACACTTCCCTTCACAGGTACTCCTCTGTCAGCTTTCTGATTGCAGTAGAATGTCTTACAACCTACACATTTACTGGGTATTTGTTCAGTTTGGTGCATTTCTTATGCCATCAAACAGTATTTATATTATGGCAACAATTTTGCCATGTGAAAATTTTTGGAAATTAAGAGCATGTCAGGCTTCATGTCTAGTTAACTTGCTCCAGCAAATCATCATTATGTAAAGAGATGTCTTTGCTTCTATTTTATAATAGAAGATATTTTAAGAAAGAAGGGAAAACATAAAGCAATTTCCAGTGCTGTACTGCTGTACTATAATCATTGTCCTATTATAGCAGCATTTGGAGATGTGAACAGTTTATGCTTGTCAACAAAGCATTATGAAACTTAAAACTTTATCCTGGTATTTACCTTTTATAATTCAAAAGTGCAACATTCAAATTCTATGCATTTTTTCTTCAGATGTCTCTCTGGGGTATCTCCTTAACTTCTTTGTTAGCATACTTTGTGGCATTGTATGGCCATATAGAAATCTTGCTCTTACTTTTTAAAAAAATATTTATTTTTTAGTTTTAAGTGGACATAATATCTTTATTTTACATTTATGTGGTGCTGAGGATTGAATTAAGTGCCTCAAACATGCTAGGCAAGCACTCTACCACTGAGCCATAACCCCAGCCCTCTTACTGACTTTTTAAGGGAATGTTTTATGTGCCACTTACCTAAATATCCTTGGAATACTTTATCGTGAATTCCTGTGAACTTGTGTTGGACTTTTGAAAATATTGACCTAATTTTTTATGTGTAAAGTTTGTTATCTCACTCTTCACAATCTTTGTTCCTTATTGGTTCAATCAACAAAAGTCATTTCCCAGCTCAGTAAGGAGCCTGCAAGATAGGCCTCCAGAGCATATGACCTATTCAACAATTTCATGCCTCCTGAGAGACCTCACTGTGCCACCTGTCTCTCTTTCAGCTCATGACACTGAGAGGTTCTGTCTTGGAAGATGCTATTCCTTCAACAGCAAAGCACTCAACGGCTAGAGGGCTTCCTTTGAAAGAAGTGCTGGAGCACGTGATCCCCGAGCTCAATGTCCAATGCCTGCGGTTGGCCTTCAACACTCCCAAAGTCACAGAGCAGCTCATGAAGCTGGATGAACAAGGGGTGAGTGGCTTTCAGCAGAGCACATTCTTGCTGCTCGTCTTCTAGGATACAGGCCTTAGTATTTCTTTTTTGGTAGAGAAAACTGATACCACTTATTAATAAGGATTTTAATTTTCTGTTTTCTTAATTCCTGGAACATTGCTCCTCCAATGAAATTCTCAGTGCCAGAACTGAAACTATGTTCTTAAACTATGTTCATCTCTCTTGATACTCTTCTATACATGTAGTAGATTTTTCAAATATCTGGGAGTAAGTTGTAGCAATAATAATAGTAACAATAAGCATAATGATGTTATTACATTATAATAATTAGTACAGTAATAATAGGGGCTAACACTAATGAGTATATTCATCAGGCTATGTTCTAAGTACCTTAAATGTTATCCCATATAATCTCCCAACCTCAAGAGTATGTGCTGTTATTACCCATTTCAAAGATTAGAAATCTGGGGCACAAAGAGATTATATAATAAATCAAATTTCTCAGAGTTAATAAGTTGTGGAGCCAGGGATCAGTCATCTGCCTCGGAGCCTAAGTTGTTAGTCGCTCTGTACCACCATTCTTAAAAACTTAGACTTTAAAACCATTAGTAACACCAAAACTAAATTTTAGCCAAGATTTATAAACATAAAATTTTAGAATTTGGGGCCCAATAAATATCACAGACTTAAAATGCTTATGATTCACTTCCTTAATACTTCGCATTCCAAAATGTAGAGGTCCTTTTGAGGCTAATGCATGATAGGATAATCCATATAAAGGTTGCCTAAAGGAAGAAGAGTTAACATCTGAAACTGTCTCTAACCAGAGAATGTTATCCACATTCTGCTTGGAGTAATTTGAACATATGTGCTAATTTTGTAGATGTTGCACTTGCGTAATCTTACTTTAACTTTTAGCACTTCAGCCATATTGCATCCTATCAATGGGTAAAAGTAGTTTTACCATTGCATTTTAAAAATCCCTCAAAAAGTGAAAGTGGTCTAGGTAATGTCATTTTCTGAAAACTTTTGATGGTGTTTCCTTAATTTTATAAATTCCAAGTTTATTAAAACAAATATAAATTCAAAAAAATAAGTTTTGAGATATATTTATTATTTTAATCAAACAATAAGAATATAAAATGAACCAATAGTTGGATTTAACTTTTCTAATCCGTGCTTTTTCTATCCATTTTGCTTTTCATAATGTGCCAACTGTCTATTCAACATGTGTATTTAAAGAATGCTGAGAGTATCCATGTGTATAACATGTAAATTGAAGCACTTTGTGTGTTTCAGAAAATAACTAATGCATAAACTTACTACTTTGAAGGCTGTTTTCCAGTAAATATTCTGGGCATTTATTCTAAAAAAGAAGGAGCAGAAAAATGATGATTAGGTTCAACTTTATTGATTCAGTCATGTCAGTGACTATGCTTATTAAAGAGAATAAATAAACCCTTAGGCATTGATAATATAATCATATACTTAACATCCTAAATTTATATTAGGACAGAATATTTTATATAAAGAAGGTGTTTATTATCATTTCCCCTTATTTTAAACATATCAAATAAAATACTCCAATTATAGATATTTCACAGATTGCTGGCACATTTTTGTCCTCTGTTAATGATTGCAAAATGTTGGACTGCAGATGGTGCTATGTTGTGGTGAACATTTCATGGTTCCTTCACACAAGGAAGATAAGAGTCCTATAATGAATTCACCCAGAGTTAAATTTATTTAATTCATAAATTGGCCATTATTTTGTAATTATGGTTCTCCTATCTTGGAGATGTTGAAATAACCTTCTCTTCACAAATTATTAATGGTAATATATGATAGTTATTTTGTTTAATTAAAAATTAAAATTTGGCAGTAATTTTCTCTGATTTTATTTTGGAAAGAAGTGCCTTACATACATTATCTCATTGAATAGGGTTTTAGTATTAGGCAGCTTTTCCTCAGCAGTGGAATGTAAAAGTTTAAAGCATGCTGTCCTATGTGAGCAGCTCTCTATCTAGACCAAAGGGCACACTACCACTTGGCTTCTCTCCTGTCTTCTCTGTTTCCATTCATAGCATTCAAAGCCAGGATTGTGCTGGTATATAGCAGATGACAGGCATACTTCAGCACAGCAGTCAGTTTTTTTTTTTTCCATAGGAAATCTCATAAATCTCATTAATGCCTTGGAACCTTTTGTAGAAACTGATTATTTTGATGCCTTTAGAAATGCAGATTTTAAAAAGAAATGCATGTACTGTAGGGGATACGCATATGAATCATTGCAAAGCATTTTTATTTTCCATCTGTGTCATCATTTTTAAAAATTTTAAGTTTTATATAGCCTCGATTTAAAGTGATTCATAGTGTGATACCAGGAAACCAGACTCACCAAAAGGAATTTTTAAGTCTCCTTTTAAATTTTTTAAAATGATTTCTATTCTCATTAAATGGCTTATAAAATTATGCTTAGAAAAAGAAAACACAATTTGTTTGCTATATTGTGCATTTTGCCTTTCAAATCCTTGGTGCTTTATTTCTTTCTTTTATCAGTATGAAAACGTAAAATGAACAGAAGAAAAACATTAAAATTTTATTTGTAAAGTATACAAGAAAGCATTGCACAAAGATCTAATAATTTGTTTCTTATTTGACTTGACAATGATATGCATGTGGGATTGGAAGTAGGCATTTCCTTGAATTCCAAAGAAATTCATTTTAGAAAATAAATACATCCTTTGTGGTTTATCCCGGCATTCACATTCTCCTTCTTTATACCTTTGTGGGCCTTTGTTGTTATTGATGTCTGTTTCTACTGTTATGTAAAATGACAGAAAAGATAAAACTAACTTGACAGTGTTTTCAAACTGGCTAGAATTGAGAACACTTGGAGCCTCAGAAAATTTGAATGAACTTTGGATTTTGTTCACACATCATGTCCTTATATCTTTATTTATTAGACAACTGAGAACATATATCATGATAGAAACAGATTACATGGATATGTGTTTCATTGTTACTCTGTTTCAATCACTTTACTGGCATCATCTGATTCAACCTTCATAGCAACCCTGAGTTGTCCCTTCCAGTTAGTTACTGGCCTGTTTTACACTTGAGGGGTTTGTGGCTTACAGCGGTTCTAAGGCCCATTTACTTTCCTCTCATCTTTAGTGATCTTGAACACTGGATACAAATTCACGTAATACTGCCTTTCATTTTTAAGATTTGAAAATTTTCCTTTACCTTTCCATTTCTTTAATTATTTTGATCCTTAAAACTATATTGTGAAGTATTAAGGGAGTCCACTACTCTATTCTACTTTGTTTTGTTGTCGTCGTTATTGTTTTGTATGCATTATAGGGAATTGAAACCCAGAGTGCTCTACCACTGAGCTACATCTCCAGAACTTTTTCTCTTTTATTTTTGAGATAGAGTCTTGCAGAGTTGTCCAGGCGGGTATTTGCAATCCTCCTGCTTCAGCCCTGTGAGTTGCTTGGGATTACATGCATGTGCCACCACCCCCAGCTTCAACTTTTTAAATCATATGACCAGTTTCATTATTTTTAAATTTGACATATCTTAACCATTTTTCTTTAGTAGTTATTTTTAAAACACCTATATCTCATCTACTCTGCAAAGGGAATTATCACACCTACCTGTATTTTAAGGAATTCACACATGTATAATACTTAATACCACGCTGGACACATAAGTAGACATTCAGAAATGTTAGTTTTTGTTGATAATTATAAAATAATAGCTTGTTAGTCACCCTTTACATGCATGAGCTCTTTTAATCTTAATAAACTTCCTATGAGAGAACATCTGTTATAGGTAACATATTATGCTTTTACAAGTAAGTGTGACCATTTCAAATCCAGTAAGTGCCTTTTAAGTACCACTCCTGGCAGATTGTTAAATACAATAGAGAATAAATAGTCTAGTAAGACACAGACCTTATACATGAAGGAGGCAAGGTCATAAATTACTGTAATGGATGTCAGGGTTAATATAAGAGAACTGCAAACAGAGAGTAATGGAGGTACAAGCCAACAGGGGCAAGTCAGAATGAGATGCATCTTAAAGGGGAAGAAAATTTCATCAGGCCGAAGAATAAACAGTAGGTCACTCCAGACTCAAAACAGTGAGAACGAAGTACAGAGGGACAAGAGCAGAGTGCTCTTATGGGGTGGGTAGCAGTCTAGTTGAACAGGAATGTGAGGCACATGCAGGAGAGCAATAGAATAGGGAATTTTGATTGAGCAGTGACTTAAGTCAGATACTGTGTGAAGCAGTTTGCATGAATTATTTTAATTATTCCTTAGAATCCTTTAATGTAGGTGCTATTATTTCTGTTTTGCATACAAGTGCACTGAGGCACAAAGAGGCTGATCACAGTTAGGATCTGTGGAGGCTAGTCTTGAGTCCAGGCATACGGACTCCAGAGCTCATGTTATCAACCAATATGCCACACAGCTTATCCTCCTTTCCCTCCCTATGCACGGGGAAGAAACTGGAACAATGGCTCCGAATCTAATTGCCATAGGCTTCAATGCCTAGTATTAAGTATAACATGTTAAGCCCAAATAAAATTGGAGTATGGCAGGCTCATAAATATTTAAAGCACAATTGCCAGTTTGCATTAATGAAATTGGTAGGTCCGTTTTCACTAGGAAATGTCAGGTTTCATGTACAAGGAAGTGATTTTGCCAACAGGAGTATCTTCATTTGGTTCCTAGGTGTTTATTAAAAATGTGCCCAAATGAAAATACTTATTGGGTTCTCAGGTTCTTTTTCATTGGTTGTTCAAAACATTACAAAGCTCTTGACATATCGTATTCTCATTGTTATACAAAATTACATATAAGAGGTTGTGAGGGGAAAGGGTTCTCAGTTTTTTAAAGTTACTCTTTAAGTTATCGAATTTAGAGTAGAAGGAAAGTAATATTTATTTTATGTCTGCAATTTATATCAAGAAGGGATGAAAGGAAAAAGCAATATTTATTCCATAA